CTTCCAACTGTAAACCTCCTTTTGCCCCACCCTGTACTGTATGTCAAGTATAATTGGAAAATTCTTAAAGAGTATTAATAAGCAAAGGAAAATGTATACTTTCTATCATTCTAAACACCTTGCAATGCTGTTTGAGTTGTGATGCTGCAGAATCCCTCCCAAAATTCAGGTTCGTGCACTGGATGCACTAGTAGGTGGAAACATTGTGATACTGGTGTTTGGAGACAGGGAAGGCTTTATTGGATTTGGCTGAGGTAGGATGAGAGGATCTCTCAAATCTGTCTCTCTCCAAAAGCAACAGGAGGAAGCCTTCATGTGGCTATGGAGTAAGAGAGGGGACGATTCGGGGAACTGAGAGAGAAGTCTGCGTGTCCTTAGTCGCAGATAACACTTTTTGAAAGCTCCTTGGAGCTCTGGAGTATCTCCTCCTGTGTGGCAATGAAACAGTACATTAGCTGCACAAAACTCTATTGTGAGAACAAGGACTGCTGGGCTGAAGAACCAAGATTCTGCAAAATATCTCCTAAGTGTGTGTCAATGATGTTATCTTTAAAGCAAAAAGCAGAAACCAGACATCTTGTGTGACCGTCACTATGAAGTTATTGTTTTATGCTTAACTAGCTGTATTTTTCTATTCTCTCAAGCAAAGTGTATTTTTAAGATTTTATTTACTTTTAGAGAGGGGGGAAGAGAGGAAGAAAGAGAGGGAGAAAAATGTGTGGTTGTCTCTCGCGAGCCCGGTACTGGGCATCTGGCTTGTAACCCAGGCATGTGCCCCGACTGGGAATCGAACTGGCCACACTTTGGTTCACAGGCTGGCACTCAGTCCACTGAGCCACACCAGTCAGGGCTCAAGCAAAGTATACTTTTAACATTTCTCCTGGAACTCGATTTATAGGCAGTCCTTCAGAACATGATTAACATGCTTTCTTAATCTGTGACCACATGCTACGTGATAACCAAATCAATTGAAACATCTAGTTAAAGCCTATACCTATATCCTAATTCAGAATTAAACTACTTAATTCTAGCTGCCAAAAACACTTGGGGCATGAAATCGCTCTGTTGGAAGAAAATTTTTGTTCAGTCATTTGTATTTTAAAATAGTAGGAAGAAAAGCGTTCCATTTCAATGCTCTCTCAGAATAAAAACATTATTTTGAGTAGATAAATATCATCTTCAGGCTGAGTCCTAATTGATCCACAGGTCCACGGGTTCAGGCCACAGGCTAGTCCCTCACTGCCAAAAGGCCTTGTCACAGGACTGGCTCTGGCAGGTGATCTTCTGTGTAATCTCTTTGTTTGCCACCTGAGGTCAGTCACCCATCAGTCCTCTTGGCAGGGCCCAGTGCAAACGAAAACATGGGCCTTCTTGTTCAAACACAGTAAACAGTGCGACACAGTAAACAACGTGCTGCAGTAATGAATTAAACGGAGCAGAGAATGAACGAAATGCAGGTCCTCCTGAGCTAGGAAGCCTGTCCTGATGCTCAGCTTGCACGCCCGTGAAACTAGCCCTGCCTTTCAGATATTATCTACAACCTGTCAGTGTGGCTATTGGTTTAAAAAAAAAAAAAAAAGGCTTTTTTGCAATTAGATTAATTTTCACAACAGGCAAAGTACACTCGCAGTCAGTTAAATCAGACAAAAGGTCAAGGGAAGATTCACTGTAAGCCATCAACTAGCAACTATTCCTCAGTTCGGCTAACTTTCATTGAGAAAAGGGTAAAAAGGAACATTAGTAGAGCTCTTGCTTGATTTAAAAACGGCCCTTGTTTAACTCCAGGTACCAAGTGGATGAACTGGCAAGATTTTGGGGGGGTGGGGGGAAGGAGACAAGATTACGTCCTGGTTTCCAAATAACTTCAGAGCGACGTGGAAAAGTGGGCCAGAACTGAGGTTTATTCAAGTCTAAGCATTTTCCTGCTGCCTCCGGGAAGAGCATGGCCCGACTAGCCAGCGAGGTAGGTAAGTCTCAGGTGCCCAGACCCGTGCAGCCGCCGGAGCGAGGCGAGGGAGGGGGCGGGGACGTGGGGGCGGAGCCGCGGACGGACGGCGATGAGGATAGGCGGGCCTCAGGGGGCGGGGCGGGGCCCTGGCGGCCATGTTGAGGCCCCGCCTTCCGGTTCTGAAGGCCTCTCGGGTTACCGTCGCCACTGCGGGTGGAGGTAAGACTGGGTCAGTGCAGAAACCTGGCGTCCTCGGTGCACCTGGATCTCGGGCTGCACCCGGACTCCGCGGGGCCTGGGCGCGGCGGACGCCGGGGCCACTGACGAGTCTCGCAGGCGCGAGCGCGGAGACTGCGGGAGGCCGAGGGTTGGGGCGCTGGGGCGGGGCCTGTCCCAAACTCGTGTTGGTTCCCCGGGATTCCAAGAGCGTGTTACCCGGGGAGCTCGGGCGTGCCTTCTCCGCGGGGCAGCTGTTGGTTTAGCAAGTGTCCGCTGCATTTCCGCAGATTTTTCCAAAATGTGCACCCAGTGCATGAGCAAACAGGCCACAAAGCGCGTCACTAGTCCCCCCAGGTGCCTGGTTCCAGGGGATCGGCGGCCACCTGGGCTGCGTCCACGCCGGGGACAGCTCAGGACTGGGCACCCGGTCGTGTTGTCAGTGCTGTTAGAGTTCTGTAGTGGCCTGGAGGACATTCCTTGATGGCATCGTCGGGGATGGCGTTAGCAGACTTCGTCGGAGGTTGTTTGAGGATCAGGGAATAGCAGTTGCTGACATCTGTGTGCATAACACAGCCAGTAGTGTTTTCCAAGCGGTCCTTAAATTAACTCATTCAGTCCCTATCAAATCGATCGAGGCGTGCAAGATTAGGTAGATTGCCCAAAGTCATTTGAGTACGTCGTGAAGCCAGAATTTGAATTTGGCGGGTTCGGCCCCAGAACCTGCTCTAAAAACTTTACACCGTGGCATTGAGTAAAGCCACCCAGTGGAAGCATCCAGGCTATACTAGAATTCTACGTAGTGGAGTCTGATTAACGTAAGATAGAAAGTGAGGCCAGAAAAATAGTGTGGGACTACTGAAGACAATCTTAAGAGCCAAGTTAAGGTGTTTGGAGTTCATGGATGCCATATTTTTCCCCAAGATAAATAAAAAATTCACATATGGGCAAGCCAGGTGAGTTTTTATGAAGGAAAAGAGACCGTGCTTAGTACACAGTTAAAATGGGACGGAAGTATATATGGAGGTGGCCAAGCGTGTCTCATCTGATAGTTAATGTGGGCAAGTGAAACATGTTTTTTATTTTGACAATACACTACTTAATGCTACTAGGCACTTAAAAATGGTGAAGACAGTGACTTTTATGCTATTTTTTAATCACAATTTTTAAAAATAAAGTGACTAACAAGTCCCTGTCGGCCGCGTTAGGCCTGAAAACGTGACGTGTGTATCTATTGAGCAGGCTTCCACGAAGGGTTGATTTTAGTGGGATGCGCAAAAAAGAAAAAGTGGGAGGCTGGGTTTTCATCACCTTTATAATTGAGATGGTAACGGTGCGAAGTCAAAGAAAGGGTAACTTGAAGACAGTTTAAACAGGTTGGGCAAGACAGGCATGGATACAAAAAAAGAAAGAAAAGGAAAGAAAACAATGGTTTGAAGGTGGGAAATAAGCTTGATTTTAGAGGCCCTAAGCTTTACCCGCCAGCCAGCCGCATATCTTAGTTGAACGGTCCCGCCAGAGATGTAAATCCTGGCACACATGCTTGAGAACGATTGGATCTAGAGATGCAGATTTAGATTCTTCCACCCACAAGGTGTAGTTGACACTTAGGGAATGGGAGTCAGCGAGAAGAGAAGGAGTGGAAGAGAAAAACCCAGATCCTGAGTTTTCACCGAGGAGAGGCTTTGCACAAAGACGTGGCCGCCCGCGGTGCCGTCATCCCGCGATGCTGGGGGGACCGGGGGGCCTGCTGCGAAGAGCCACGGGGCGGGGGGGGGGCACTGGAAAGGAAGATGGGTCAGCATCAGGGGGTGTGCGAGGCCAGGAGCAAAGCCCCAGAAGAGATGTATGGACAACTCAGGAGTCTCGTGGGGAGAAGGCAAGACGGGTAAAACACAAGCACAGATTTCTGGAGGTGAGTGACATTCAGGTTCAGTAAGAGAAAGGAAGGAAAAGTGGGAGTGGACGGTTTGGCCTTTTGGAGAAATGCACGCTTTGTGAACGAAGACGACTCTCCCCCACCTCACCTGACGGCAGGCGCGCGCGCCGAGAGGCCCTTCCCCTCCGGAGAATACCATCCTTTTCCAGGGCCCTCCGGGGAAACGCAGTCACTCCCACTGGCCCCGGGACACTGTTTGTTCGGGGTTTTTCTTGGAAAGGATGTGGTTTTGGTTTCTTGCTACTCTACCCTACTCTCTGACTCCATCTCTCCCACCAAGTCTGTTCGAGAACTTACATGCAACATCTGTAAGACAAATGACACCTAGTATGTACTGTGCAAGTGTTTGTTTACTTATTTGTTGGTTGGTTTGTGTCAGTCTCTCACCAGTTCACCCTTTGTAGCCGGTCAGCTCAGCCGCCCTAAGTCCTCACCTGCTGCCTCGGTTTTCCTCCTGTCGTTACAAGTCTGGCTACAACCCTGGGCCCGGCAGATCTAGGCTTTTTAGCCTTTCTCCCCTTTTCTAGTCCTCACTCCTGTTTTCTTTGCTCTCAGGAGGTGACTACACCTCATACTTCGCAGTTATACTTTGAAACTTAAAAAAAAAAATTATTTGAAAGGGAAAGAACTCTGTTCATAGGCATCTTATTGCAGCACAAGTCGTTGACTAGACGCCGGGCCTTGTGGCAAAGTAGGTGTTCAGGCGAGGGCGGCCCCTCCCTCAGCTGTGTTTCCCACGCGGCCCTATCCAGGGGCCCGCTGTCACCTGCCTTGGGGAGAAAGTGTCCCTGTTGGGAACGATTAATCTGTTATACGTGGTTATAGAGCCTTTGTGTGCAAAGTAGGTCCCATTCATAAACCACTTGGTCTTTTTTTTTTTTTTTCAGGATCATCTACCCTTTGGCGCAGACAAAAGAGCAAATTGCAGCTGGACAGGTGAACTTAAGTTTCATTTCTTGGGCATTACTCTGAAAGTTGAATGAAGAATCTAATAGCTTAGCTATTAACTGGTTGGGGAGTAGGGGTGGGGGAGGGTTGGGGAGTGAAAGGATGGAGCCACAAAGAACAAGAGCTGGCAACACGGACAACAGCGTGGTGATTGCGGGGGGGGGGGGGGGGGGCGGGGAGTGGGGGGGGTCGGTGGAGGTGGAGGAGGGTGCAGGAGGAATAAATGGTAATGGAGAAAATACACTAAAAAAGGAGCTATTAAAAAATAATTTTAAAACACTGTATTTTAACTTTGTTTTCTCTGACCAAGTGGAAAGTATCTGATTTTGAATGTGAATAAAGAACAGAGGAAGGAGGCTCCTTGTAGTTTGCTAAAATGAATAAGAAAGCACTGAATGACAAAGGACAAGTTCATGTTTAAAGCTTTCACCTAATAGGGGTAAAAAATGAAAAAAGTAGTCAGTCACTCATTCAGCAGCTCGCTCTTAGGTACTGCTTGTGCACTAGATACAGACCCAGGGCACCGTGTGGCGGGAAAGCAGAAGCGGTCCCGGCCACATGTACGAGAAAAGAGCTTCCTTGTGGACTAATTCAGCAGGTCCGTTTCATGCATTGGTCACGTGTGTGTATGTTAAAATTATGCACCTGTGCGTTCATTATTTAAGATAGGATCGTGAACAAGGGCAGCTGAAGTTAATATTCAATAATTAATAACATCTAGTGAGCAGTTTATTGTTGAATTTATTGTTTCTAGATTAACAGCTTAAACCTGTGAAGAGGTGATTTCTCTGCCTGTAATTGTAGTACCTTAATTCTAAAAAATTAGTCTTTGAGTGTCTATAAAAGATAATAACCTAAGGACTTCCTCGGGAGGTAGGGGAGCAGAGCGGCGAAGAGCAGGGGAGCCAGACTTGTGGGTTCACATCCCCGCTTTTCAGTGCAAATCTAAGCATTTGGATTTATTGAACAGATGACCGAAAGGCGGGATTGAAACTAATCGTACTTAGAATTTTGCAAAGGTATTTCCAAAGTTAGCTTTTTAAGGTTATTGTTACAGGCCTCTGAGGGTTAACCCCAATACCGCCACTGAGCAGCACCCAGAACGTTTTTTTGCTGACGAGCCCACCCAAGTGGTGAGGCCTGTGAGCGGGGAGGGAAGCCCTCCCCTGCGAGCTAACGGGCAGGCCCCTCTGGTTCCTCCTTGCTCAGCAAGCACCTGCGATAGAGATGGTTTTCTAATCTTTTTATTGTTGGAAATTAATATGTGGCATGTTAACATTTAAGGTGAAAATTATTTATGAAAATTTAAAGGATTTGTTGGAGAGCAAAGAATAACCAAACTTCAGAATTTCCCAATGACAAGCTGTACTTTTATTTTACTTAGAACAGCTTTATGTTTTGCGTGTTGGTTTGTTTTCAAGGGAAAAGTGATCTAAAAGTTGTGCTTCACTTTCCCATAAGATGAGTGGTTTGATCTGGTTTAACATATTGAAGAGTGCCTGTAAGTGTTCAGTAAATGTTATCTGTATAACTATCAGCATTATTATTGTTACATCATTTTCCTCCCTTTTTAAAATCAACCATAATCAGTCATGCCACTTCCTTAACTCCTTTGTTACACTTCTGAGGTTACCTGTTAACAATTTTTAATCTTCTAAGCTAGTCGTCCAGGGTGTAAGCGGGACAAATGGTAATGGAAAAAAATAGAATAAAAATAGTGTAAAAAAAGAAAAAATAAGTTGTCAAATATTAACTTATCTATATTTTGCCTCTTTCTAAAAAGAATTTGAGGCAATCCAAACACCAAAAAAAAAAAAAAAAAAAAAACCTTGTTAATAAATTGGTAATGACATACCAAAGTACTAAAGACTTTTTAAAGTGGTAACAAGTGAAAAATATGTGTTTCAAAGTTAATCAGTTTCTTAATATTGTTTATTATGGAAAATTAGCCTGTGAAGAAAAAGTCCAAGTGAAAGACAGTTGTATGTTTGGATAGCTTATCTAAAAACAGTGTTGTTTCAAATTTTTTAGGAACAAATTCTCTAGAAATTAATGAGATTGATTTTCCCTAATAGGGAAAGAATGGCATTGAAACAGATTTCCAGCAACAAGTGCTTTGGGGGATTCCAGAAAGTTTTTGAACATGACAGGTAACTACTAAGAAGATACAGGTCAGGTGTCTCTTATTCTACTTACATCCGTTTGATTCTTGAAGCCCATGAAAAGTTATTGTTGCGTGAATTACTGTTTACATGGAAATATATTTTTTTATCAATTATCTAGCCTTGATATTAATGGTTTTAATAAAATATTAGTGATAAAGAGCAAATGAAGGATATGATAGATTTCAGTACCCCTAAGCAAAAATGTAATTTAAGATCTTTACAATTCATTTTTTATAAAACTTAATACATATTTTTTGGAAACAGAAACGATATGAGTGCTACACTGAGGTTATTACATTTTTTAAAAATTTATTCTGGCCAAAATGACTGTTTTGGGCACAGCACAGGTGTGGGTGGATTAATATATCACCATGCTACATTGGCCCTCTTCTTTAAGGGCCAAGGTCTGTCCAGAAGGTATCCAGCCATGTAATCCAAAAAATAGACACATTTATTGAAGAAGTCATAAGATCCCAGAAACATTGTACATAGGACAATGACGCCTCAGTCCCCTGCAAAGTAGGCACCTTGGGACCTCACACAGCTCTCCCAGTCACCATCAGCCGCCCCGTCATATTTTCCTGAATCTCATCGACAGTCTGTCTGAAATCTCTTCCCTTTCGAAGGTGATTTTAGTTTTGGGAAAAACCGCAAGTCACAGGGTGCCAAACCTGGGCTGTAGAGGGGCTGAGTCACCTGAGTGATTTGATGTTTTGCCAAAAAGACTCTGCCCAACGCGTGATGCATGAGCAAGTGCACTGTCGTGATGAAGCTGCCAATCACCAGTTGCCTATAGCGGCAGCCTCTGAATCATAGAAATAGTTTCTGTGGAGGAACGTTCAAGCTTAACACAAAATTGGATGCAGATTCCTTGCTCTATTTGCTTAGTCAGTTTGAATGCGACAGCCACACAGTGCACATGCTCACGCAATAGTATCTACCTTCCCCCACTAACTGATACAGTGAAGTCATTGTTCACACATGTGCATTCCAGTCTCCTTGGCTGCCAGGTCACATCAGTATCGTGTGAACCACTCGTTAAATTAACGACGGCCGGACTTTTTCAGGACAGACCCTGTATATTCCTTAAACGTTGGTGGAGTCACTGACTTTAGACATTAAATCACTTATGTTTTATCTTTCTGTCTCGACTAATGAGGAGCATTGATCTTCTGTGTGTGTGTGTGTGACTGTTAAATCACAGCGTCGAACTGAGCTGCAAAATGAAATTTGCCATCTACTTACCGCCTAAGGCAGAGACCGGAAACTGTCCCGCACTCTATTGGCTGTCTGGTAAGTGCTGTGCATATGGGTTTTAGGCAGGAGCAGCAGTTTCTTTCTCTTTTTAATTGGCCTGTCTTACTTTTCTATCCTGACTCATTAGTGTGCCTTCTGAGCCACATTCAAAGGTGAGAGGAGCCAGGCATAGTCTGCTCTTTCCTTGTCCCTTGGATCATTTCAGGCCTTCTGCCCTACATTCATTTCACTGCTTTTTGGGGTTGGTTTAGCTTTGTGATTATTTTACCTACACTTTACGTGTTAAACCCTCTCGGGAGAGAAAGACTAAAAGCACTGGGATGTGGCTCTCCTCGGGCAACGTCTCTCCCAAGAAAGCCCTCCCGAGCCACCAGCGTCCTTACCGAAAGGTGACAGGTTACATTTCATATAATCTGAAAACAGCATGGCTAAAAATGGTAACTGGAAGTGTGTAGATTTCATACAGTAACGCTTTATACACATATCACCACTCCCCCGCAAAAAGGCAAGCTGTTCTCCTAAATATAAAATCATGTCTTCCTAAAAATGTATTAGTTCTTAATTAAATATATTGAGGTGACATTGCTGAAGAGAATTATGCAGGCTTCAAGCGTGTGTCCTCTGTATATTGCCTCGTGTACCCACCGCCCAAGCACTGCACTTCTTTCTCAGTTAGACCCGGGAATTTAGCAGAGAACCTAAAGTTCTAGACCCAGTGGCAAGGGCTTAGAAATCATTTACCTGGTTTGTACTTACTCAAGCATTTCTTGTAGAGATTGTACCATTCCCATAGAACATTATCAGGTAAAGCCAGGATATTCATTAGTAATCATCCCCTCCTTTTGAGAGAAATCCTACTGGTAGAATTATCTTCCTTTCTGTGAGTCCACACTTGACTCCCTCCTACGATGGTTGAGAAATTTGTGTTGCAATTAGAAAAATTGTTGATCCCTCTGGTCTCTAAACCGATGACATTTCCCAAGTGCAGTGTATCCCAGACACAATTCGGAACTCTACATGTCACCATATTTAATCCTCACGCCACCTTATGAGGTGAAAACAGGCAATATTATGCCCTGTTTTCAAATGAAGGAGCTGAGGCTCAGAATGTTGGAGTTACTTACCTAATTTTGTTTAGCCAGTAAGCGGCAGAGTGACACCTAGGACCAGATCCCGTCCGGGATCCAAAGCACACGCTTCCTCCGCTGTCATCCTGTCTCTGGATGTGCTGGAAAGGAACATGGCGGACCAACAAGGACCTTGCTCTCCTTCCATGACTAGTGAAAGGGTGTGTGTGCTCACGGTTCACTCACCCGTAACTCCCAGAACACTTCATCCGGCCGTGCTTGTCACTTTCGATCTTGTAATTGTTAGTGAATCTCTGTCGGGCAGTCATTTCCGGAGTCTCTGTGCGGGCTCTTAGGGGACAGATAGAAACCTGAAGGTGTTCTGTAGTTAATTCACACGGCAGCGGCCATTGCCCGTTAACGGCCAGGGCCGTGGGGCACGTGGCCTCGGCCCCTGGAGAAGGGCTGTTGGGTCGGGTGCTGGTCCGTGCAGGCGTCTGTGGCCAGTTTGCTCTGGGCTGTCCTCGCATCTTTGTAGTGTTAGACTCTCGTAATGAGAGAAGTGACACCCGCCACCTGTCACGCAACTAGAAAGCACAGAGGTAGGAAAATGGCAGAAACAGCTGCAAAACCGGGGCTGAAACTCAGTCTCGATGTAAGGAAGGTGTATGGTGGCCATTGCTCTCTCCTTAGGCCTCTGAGGAATACAGAGACGGCGAGGCTGGGTTTCGTTGCTATGAACTACTTGTATGTAAAAATGCTATGGTGACTTGTCTTCTGATGACTCCAGTGTCCTCTCACTGTGAGTAGCGACGTGCTGGCGCAGGAGTAGCAGCGGCTTTGAGCCGCGTGCCCGCGAACACCGCACGGAGTGGTCCCCACGTGGGTGCCGTGCACCGTGCTGGGGTCCCGCGGCTGGCGGAGGTCTGAACTCCCGGCACGTCTCGTCCTGAGGAGGACAGGGATTGGAACTTCAGCGCATGACTTTGAAAGCACGGCTACGGGAGCGTTCCGCCCGAGGCAGACCTTGGACGGTTATAAATTCTATGAGAAGGGGAACTTTAATGTCTTCTTTACAATTACTTCTTTAAAAAAAAAAAAAAAAAAAAAAAGCCTTTTGATAATACCAAGGGAGATGGATTTCCTGAATTATAAAAATATTAAAGCCTCGCAACCATTTTTAACACAGCATGAGGTCATGTTTTTGATCTTCAGGTTTAACTTGCACAGAACAGAACTTCATATCCAAGTCCGGCTTCCAGCAGGCCGCCTCGGAGCACGGCCTGGTGGTCGTCGCCCCCGACACCAGCCCTCGTAAGTGCCCTCGCCCCCCGGCCCTTCCCCGGCGGCGCGCCGCTCTAGGACTAGGCTCTGAGTGGGACAACAGAGACACTGTAAGGGTCGTTCTGTACTTCGGCTCTCTCTCTACTAATCTTTCAAATGCCACCGTGACTCTAAAGCACACCGTATACATTGCCCGTTCCATTGGTAAACTGTCTTGTCCCAAGGTCCTTGTGTCTTTGTCTCGTCCCTGTTAGTCGGCAAGTAATCATACAGTTTCAAAAGTATTCGTTTCAGTGTAACCGATTAGAATGTTTCTATCAGAGAATGTTAAACTTTGGGCAGCTTCATCCGTCAGAGAGTTAAAACTTGTTTTGTGACCCCCGAAATCTCGGGAAATGAAATGTAAATGCCAGCGAAAACTATCTAGGAATAAATTTTTAAAACGTAAGATTTAGTTTTAAAAACGATAACATTTGCCAAAGACCATAAATGAAACATCAATAAGTGGAAAACTGTCACGTTCCTGGATGGGTAGACTGAATATCATGAAGAGGTTATTTCCCTCCAATTACTCTACCTAGCCCTGTAATTCTAATCAAAATTGGAACGGCTGGCTTTTTAACTACATGCGTGATATAAAATAAAACCCCATGGATTGAAAAGGAGCACAGGAAAACCCCAGGGAGGGCCGCGCTAGTCGGGAGCCGTGGCGGAGCCCCCGGTCCCCGCGGCACACCTCTCCCTTCACGCCGCTGAGTCGGGCAGAAGCGGCCCGTCCCTCCTGAGAAAGGCCACAGTGAGGAACAGAATTACCGGCAGGGCCTGTCAGAGGTCGGGAGGTCCTCAGAGGAGGGATCTCAGCAAACTTCTGAAAGAGAAAAAGAGGGCGTATGCCCTTTGCCAGGGAAGACAGAGGAAGGAAGTGGGGGTTCCGGACACGCTGGAGGGCTCCTCTGCAGCCAGGAAAGCTGGGGGGCTGAACCTGGCAGTGAGCGCCCCAGCCGGCGGGGCTCCTCTCTCCCCTCGTGGGCTGGGAGCGCGCGCCCCAAAAGGCAGAGAAGAGAGCCCGCACCATTTGGCGAGCAGCTTTAATGCAGATGAAGTTTCAGGTTCATTTAAAAGCATATAATTAAACACAGGCCATTATGAAAGAGTGGAAGAAAGCACAAGATTGTTCCCTAACGTTAACAGGTGGCTGCAGCATTCAAGGAGAGGACGAGAGCTGGGACTTCGGCACTGGCGCTGGGTTTTATGTGAACGCCACCGAAGGGCCTTGGAAAACGAACTACAGGATGTACTCCTACGTAACGGAGGAGGTGACTCTGTTTGTATTGTAGTCATTCACGGGTGGCTGCCAAAACCTCAGTTTAGGCAACAAGTCCTTCTCGTCCTGAGAATTTTAAACTAGAATGTGGTACAAATTGATTCATTATCTTAGTGAAAATTCCAGAGTTCGCTAGTACTGGCATTCTGTGTACTGCCATTTGAATTAACACTAAATACAATTTTTTACTCGTTCATGCCATTGTAAGACCGTGATTCAGAAGTATTGGTTGCGTCATTATTTTATATAACTGAGAAAGTCTAAACTTCCTCTCATGTCTGTTGTCACACTATTAATTTTTTTTGTAGCTTCCCCAACTCATCAATGCCAATTTCCCGGTGGACCCCCAGCGGATGTCTGTTTTTGGCCACTCCATGGGAGGCCACGGGGCCCTGATCTGTGCTTTGAAGAACCCTGGAAAATACAAAGTAAGGTTACCGAAGCTTCTAGTGGCAAATCTCTCTCTTGGGCAATATAACAGTGAGAACTCTCAAAGGTTGACATTAGGATTTATTGTAGTATGGAGACTAATCTTTTCTAGAAGTTTTGGGAATTTCAAGAGGTTGTGGGAGAGGGGAGGAGTATTAAATTTGACCACGTGATGTATGCTACAGAGTCGGAAGCATAAGCCTTCAGCCACAGCAGGTTCTTGTTGGTCTACAAGTTTTGTTTTGTTTTTTTACTTTAAAAAAAAGAAAGAATTTTATTGGTTTATTTTTTAGAGAGAGGGGAAGGGAGGGAGAAAGAGAGGGAGAGAAACGTCCACGTCCTAGAGAAAGATCAATCGGTTGCCTCTTACATGCCCCCAACTGGGACCGAACTGAAACCCAGGCCTGGGCCCTGGCCAGGAATCGAACTGGTGACCTTTGTTTACAGAACGACCAGTCCACTGAGCCACACCTGTCAGGGCTGCTACAAGTATTAAAAAATTGCATCGAATATTTCATTGCTTCAATTCAAACTGTAGCTTTCTAGGCATTTTTTTTTCCCTTAAAGTTATTCTCGATTAATGTTACGGCACTATCTATCTCTCATGGACTTAAATTTTTACCAGGAACATCTTTGATTTTGGTTCTCTGAGGGAGGAGATACTCACAGTTGATAAAAACTTAAGAATTCTCTGTTCCTCATGCCTCTGATGAACAGTGGCAGGCGGCTTGATTGGAAACTGTCCCCCTCAGCCTCCCCGTTCATTCACCTGAAGCTTTACTTCTCTGCTGTCTGTGTAACGGCCGAGGGGGGCCGCGCCGTGCGCAGGGCAGCGGGGGTCGCGCAGGCAGCGGCCACCCGCAGTCCGCCCCGTCTCGGAGTCCCAGGGCCATCGGAGACCTCAAGATTGGTCTCGTCCGTTGTCTCCGCTTAGGAAGGCCTTTTAGTCACCGGAGGGGCGCTACTGGGACATGAAAATCTCCCTCACAGCAGTTTCGGTGGCGCCCGGTGTTTTCCATTTGATAAGCTTTATAATAAAGTCGAATTAATTGGTGGCATGACAGTGGGTTTTTAAAATAGAGGTTTTATTTTTGTCTGTGTGTGTGTGTGCGTGTGCATGCACGCGCACAAAAGGCAATCAAATTCATTGGGTCTAAATTTGGGGATAGAGAGGGATAAGCAAATGTCATTGAATTTTTGTCCTTAAAAAAGCGAGTAGACATTAATAAACGTAACATTGATAAGCACTCTGACACTGAGAGATTCCATCTCTGCATTTTATCCAGTGACCAGCAGCATTGCACAGAACACAATATCACGTTGTATGGAAGGTTCTGCCGTATTTCGGGGCATTGTTCAGTGCCTTCTTGGCACTGGCTAAGAGAAATCCCATGTCTCGGATTTAATAACATGTCTCCGATTTTAAAAAGTAGAAACTGAATATAAACTTCCATCCATGCCTTGTGTAATGAAAGTGTAATCCATTGCTTTGCATTATTTTTGCACCTGTAGTTTAGCAGCTCTCTTAACAGAACGCACAAAAGATGTGCTACGGGGAGGCCTGTGGTTGAAGCTCTAATAGAGTAAAAGGAAGATTGTTCACAGCCGTTTTCCGGGCAAGTCAGAATTTATAAGCAAGTTGCAAATGACTCCTGAGTTCTTAAACAAGTTGAAAATATCTGTTCATATTTGCTTTAGAGACATACAACTTGTTCTTAATTTTTTTTGTTTGTTTGTTTTTTCTTTTGCTTGTTTCTAAAGTCTGTGTCAGCATTTGCTCCAATTTGCAATCCAGTGCTTTGTCCCTGGGGCAAAAAAGCCTTTGGTGGATATCTGGGAACAGATCAAAGTAAATGGAAGGTAGGTACTAGAGGGCTATCTCAGCACTGGTTTGAAGTTTTCAGGTTTATTCAAAAGCTGTGCACCACAGACATTATTTCTAGCCCACTCAAGGATCCAAAGCAAAAATAATTAGCCAAAGTGTAAACGGAACAATCACAAAACACCTACTTTCTAATTGTACCGAATTAGGACAGATATTCTGAGGCTACATTTTCGTTCTGTTCATGGTCAATTTATACGTCACTCCTAAGTCAGCATTATTTGGTATGAGCGTTCCCCAGAACCCCACATATTATTACTGAATTTAGATTCTCCTTTAATTAACTATAGCTCAATTATGTGCAATGGGAACCATGAGATCTGACTTTTTAAATTAATTTGTGTATCTTTTTCAAAATCCATCATCTCTCAGATTTGAATTTTAAATGCCAGATTTAAAAGTCTTTAAAAATAGTTACTGTGTAATGTACATTTATGAGACTATTCCCAACAGCAAGATGACTTTTTCAAGCGTAGGGGCAGAGGCTTCAACATGAAAATAAAAATGCCTCTTTCTCCTGAGACTCATCTTACCCCTGCGCAGAAATGGGCCATTTGCACACCCCACCAAGAGCTTGACTATTTTACAGATGAACTTGTCATCTTGTGTCTGTTAACAAGTAGGTAAAATGGTAACTAGTAGCAGCTTCTCAGATAATAAATTTGAGGAGTTGTTACTATGATTCAGATTAATATAATCAAGTCCTCCTGAAAATTCAGGAAGACCTTCGGAGCTGTCCAACAGACCGCAGGAGGGCTGACTGCAGTTCTATCTGGAATTAGAGCTGAAAAGAGAGACCGAAGAAGAGACTCTTTCCTTGAAATAGAGAACATTTGGAAATAGAAGAAGATAATGGAATGTGAAGAAATAGTTTGTGGAGGGCTTTACAGAAAAATTTATGGTTTAATAATAATAATAATAATAATAATTATTATTATTATTATTTGAGTTGAGAGACCTTAAAGATTTTGAAGAAAAAAAGGCAATTCATGCTGGAGATGCAGGATTCTTACCACCAGCCTCGGGCTGCCTGAAGGGAAGGGAAGAGGCCCTCACTGGGGAAGAGAATTCTGAAAACCTTGTAAATAAGACCCTGGCCAGTCCGATGGTGAGCCAGCTGAAAAGCGTATTTCCAATTTCACCAGCGGCAGAGTTTAAATGACTTTAAGCTTCTATTTGGTTCTCACCTCATGCATTCTGAAGACTATGTTACTGGGCACTTACAGGTTCACTTGGAATGTTTCCCTTTTTATAGGCGTATGATGCTACCCACCTCGTGAAGGCCTACCCGGGGCCTCAGCTGGACGTACTGATCGACCAGGGGAAGGACGACCAGTTCCTCCTGGACGGACAGCTGCTGCCCGACAACTTCATAGCTGCCTGCGCAGAAAAGAAAATCCCGGTCGTGTTCAGATTGCAAGAGGCAAGTACTAGGAAACCTTAGCTTGTTCCCAAGAAGGATCGAAAAGCAGGATTCTGAGCACTTTTTAAATTTTCCTTTAGAATTTGCAATGCCACCTCTATAATGAGACACTTAGAATAAAAGCCTTTCTATTATGTTAATATCTAAGACCAGATTCCATAGAAATAGGAAAACTTTTGGTGGTGAAAAGTATTTCCGGTTTTCTGGCCCACTGTAAAAAGAGTAAATAATAAGAAGCTTAATACTTGAGTGGCACTTAATCATTGACATGACTGTATCTTTCTTTACACCGTGTGCACCTACTGTAGCAGAATCAAAAGGGCAAGTGCCCACCTTACCTTATGCGCACTTTCTGTTGTCTGAATTAGATATTAGTCTCTTCGTTGTGCAACTTGGTATTTCTAGTTATTTAAGAATTATTAATGAGTTTCATTTGGTCTGCAAATTTTCCTTGACTAAAATACTTTTGACTATTTACTAATCACGCAGCTGCCTGGCACTTCACATTTTCTCTCCACTTCATGGCAGTTTTCAAGAGTTTATTAATTTTTTACTCAGTTTGATTTGTTGCTAAAGGACGTCAGAGTTTAATGAATTATTCATTTTTCCTTCAATAGAGGTACAATATGCTTGTACTGGGTAGGCGGAATTCTTAACGTGATTTATGACGACTCTGTTTGATTTCCCAAACAATAATAGACCGTTTAGGTATTTTCATGTTCATTCTCTATATTGTTTGTGTACACTCGTCCTGTGTTTTAACATTACCTCTCTTGTTGATATGATCATATGTTTTCATTTAATTGTGTTATTTCCTCTCTTTGAATATAAATGGCAGCATCTAAAAACAAGGCTTTGCGGAATGTTGTGGAATTTTATGTCATATTTCTGCTCTTTTAATGTAAAGTAAAAATGTTACAATACAGCGTAAGTTTGATTTTTGAGTATAAACCTTCCTCATATTGTAATGTTTTGACTACAAGCAAATTAAGAGAGATGAGAGAGATATTTAATGCTTCTGATGTTAATGTTCCCAAATGGTAGGTACATGTCTCATCATCTCTCTGTTTTGTCCTCTAGGGTTATGATCACAGCTACTACTTCATTGCAACCTTTATTACTGATCACATCAGACATCATGCAAAATACCTGAATGCTTGAAAAACGGCGGATAAGAGACTCTCTTCAGGATTTTAAAAATTGTAATAAACAGAATTGCAGGGAAAAAAAGATTTCAAAACATTGTATCGCATAATGCTAAAAATGCTTCGTTCTATAGTTAAATCACCTTCTGGATAAATACATGAAACCTACTCCTGACTTGCAAAGTTATTTGACCGCTCCTCACATGGGAAGTCTTTACTACTTTCCGCTTTCTTGGGGTCATCTGGCAGTCACCCCTGTCACGAGCCAGGTCACAGAACGCGACTCTAATCCCCTTCAAGTCACAAGACGCTGGCTCTGGAGAGAGGCTGTGAAGGTGACCGGGCCGAACCCTTCCCCTTTCCACACTCGAATCCCTGAAGGCGCACACCGTCTTCGCCCTGTTCGCCGTTAGACATCCTGCGCCTGGCAGCTGCGGGGCCTATGGCGGGCATTTCATAGTCGCGCGTTAGCTTTGAACCGGGAAATAAGCTCAGAAAGTGTCCGTGACTCCCTCATCACGACACAGCTCTTGGCCAGGCAGCTAAGATGAGAGGCCAGATTTTCTAGACCCAGTCCAGTGATACTTCTTAACTTTTGAGCCACACAGAGTTAGGGACATTGGTTTTTGGATGTCTCTCAAAGACAAGTATTAAATAATACGATTTATCTGAAAACAGCTAGTAAGGAAATGGGTAAGTTTCATGTGTTGCTGTAAACATTCTTTCCCCCTTAGTTACATGCAGAAATGCAGCTTGAGCTCACAAGAAAAGCACCCAGGCTCTTTGCAATATCAAATTGGGTTCCTTTGAGAACTTAGAGGACAGGCTTGAAACACGACAGATGGTCTGGTTGCTTTTAAAAAAATGCATTTTTCTATCAAACAGCACAAAGTGTATACATTTTAAACATTCAGTGGAAGAAGACATTGCGTTCTTGAAGTTTAGTACTATTTAAACGTAAATTAGGTTTTAAAAATCAGTGTCACTTAAATACCTGTAGTCAAGATGGAGCCCTATAGCAAACGACGCACAAAATGGTTCCAGTCTAAACAGTCTCGTTTCCTCCAATAAGATCATTGAGTTAATTAACGAATTTTGTACACGTTGTGGGTAATTCTTTGGTAAAGAGAGCTGTGTGGTCCTAAGGCCATCGTATTGGCTGAGGGTTTAGTCAGCGAAGCGTAGCTAGCAGCAGCCCTATACCGTGGAGATTTTCTACGAGGAATTGGCTTCTGTGGCTCTCAGGCCACCAAGCAAGTCCGGTGCCCATAGGGCAGGCCGTGGGAAGGGCAGGTCCCGACGAGGCCGGACCCCGTAGGCACAGGCTGGGGCGCTCGTCCGGAGCGAGAATTTCTCTCTGGGAAGCACAGTCTTGCCTTTGAGACCTTCCAAGTGAGGCTCAGCGGATACTCTGCCGTATTTAAAGCCAGTCGGTTAGGGGCTTTGTATGTGCAGACCCCTTCAGAGCCAACACCTACATTCGTGTTTCAATAACTGGGAGCTGCCACAAAATCAACTCGGTTCATCGTTAATAGAAAATAGTGCCTTTTTGCAGGGTAAACACAAAAACACTAACATATTCAATACCTAATGGCTGACATAGAGCCAACTGTAATGAAGACAAAGGCCTTCAGCTACCACACAGAACTGACCACTGAGGGCCCACAGGGGGCCAGTAAAGTTGAGCTGGCTTCTATGTGCCGCAAACGCTGGCCGGGGGAGGGTGAATCCTCACACGTCCGTAAACATGAGATGTTCCCCCACCAAAAATTTTCCCTTTCAAAGTCGCTTCCATTATAAGGGACCGTCTCAATGACTTTATGGTAAACAAATAATCTAAAAATGACCTTCGACTATGAGTTCTGTGTACTTCTAACAAATCACCAGAGGGAATCAGGTATAAAGGCAGGAGAAGGAATAAACGAATGTCCTGGGTTATGACACATGCTGTAAAACCCCTTTAAAGATCCCTTTAAGAAACAACACCAGTAAAGTGGGGAAGGAAAACGTACGTCTTCTCACTGTACCTGCCTTATGAAGCTGTTTTCCGGCTCTTTCCTCTTTGGCTTCGGTTAGTCTCAGCCAGCACTCGACCTAGTCCCAGTAGGCTCAGTGTATTGGTTTATCACACAAATATGCTTTCTTTGCATCTCCAAACATCCCCCGGATTGTCCAGAACTTTTTTTCTAAACTCTACAAACATCTGTGGAGTGAGCTGTGCTGGGAAGCCCTTCTGTGGGGTCTAAAGGACACAGGCCTGATGTGCCGGAACGTGACTCTGACTTGCTCTTCCTTCCCCTTCCTTCCTGGCTGTGCTCCTGAGCGTCTCCTGATTAGCTGGTGCTCTTAATTAGAAGTGATAGAAATCCAGCTGGAACTGATTTGATGTGAAGCCACAGCCTGCTGGAAGCATCCGTGGAAAGTTTGACTGCCCAAGCTTCAGAAAGATAAGACTCTGATTTCTGGACCCGGGAAAGCAAGTACCAGCCAGGGGTTCTCTTTGCTGTTTCTTGTCCTTACTTTCCTCTCTGCAGGAAAGGTTTTATCCTTAGGTCCTTCCCAGGTTTTCCATCTTCTGTCTTCCATCACTAGGAAAAAATTAAAATCCAGGGGAAGAGACTGGTTCATGAGTTGTCAATAAGGGGCTGCTGCTGAACCGATAAACAAGAGCCAGGGGAGCAGTGTCTGGGAAGAGCCGTAACGCCCTCCTGGTGCAGGACGCAGGGTTAGCCCCTGGAAGCCGTGGGTGGTTGGTGGGCCCCCGTTGGTCTTTACTGCAAGTCCCTTCCTTGTAGCATTTTGGGAGGACTGTCTGAGATCACTCAGGTGAGGTTCATTCATTCTCCTACTAGGCATCTCTTCAATGCCCGCGGCATGGTAAGCAGTGTTCTGGCTGATGGAGAATCAGCTGAGAACAAAGTACACACGCAGCCCTGCTTTACTGGTGCGTATAATTCAGAAGAGACACTGGACCCCCAATAGCCACTCAATGAATACTGGCCATTATGGTGGTCCATTGACGTGGGTGGGGGAGCGAATTCTGCTTCCCACACACGCCCGGCGCCCACGGGCACCAGTTCTGAAGAGGACACCCTGCATTCATCTGTCCCAAGCCAGACCCAATGGGACCTGCTCTCTGCCAGGCGACCTGCTGTGGCAGATGGGAGATAGACAACCGGCCCTGCTGGGTCACCGCTGCCCGCCCTCCCCGCTGCCCCCAGCCCGGCCGGCTCCTGCCGCCTCCCCTCCCCTCGCCTCGCCCTCACACACCGCGGTTGCTCCAGCCGACCTCCAACGCGGCGCCTGCGAAGCCTTGACGCTGTGACGTGCAGAGGACAGAGATGACTGCGCCTCCAGAGCTGGGCCGGGAGAACCTCCGGGCCGGGCCCGCTGGGCGCGACCCTCCCAACGCGGAAGGCCCGACGCTGGGCATGGCACTCCTCGCCCCGGCGGTGGGCCTCAGGCCTGTGCTGGGCGGGGGCTGGGATGAGGGGACAGAAACAAGCCGGCATGGCTTTCGCTTGAATTCCTCCAAGCAGCTGCCCTCCTGCCACAGCGGGGGCTGGGAGTTGGGGAAACTGGGGGCACGGGCTGGGACACCCGGGAAGGGGACCCAAAGCAGCTGCGGTGCTCGCTCAGCGTCCGATTCCACGGGCTGCAGCTGAGGAGGGGGGCCACACCCTGGGGTTTGACACCACAGATCCTTCAGGCTTCCTCGGGCCCCTCCCAGAGCCACTGCCCGAGGGACAGGTGACGGCACGCCTCAGCGGCACCCCACGCCCACCCCAGCAGCTCCGCCGCAGCGGCTGTGTGTCCTGTGCGCCCAGGGAGGACTGAGTTTGGAAATCTCTCTCTCTCTCGCTCTCTCGCTCTCTCTCTCTCTCTCACACACACACACACACACACACACACACACACACACACACTACGATGCTCCAGTCTGTTTCAACAACGCCCCCACCCCAAGGGTTCTTCTGTGACCTGTGTCCACCTTTGCATCACGTGCGTAAGTCAATCAGAAAATGGTCAGTTTAAATTCAAAGTTTTAATGGCCACGAAGCAAGGAAGGCGTGTCCGCACCCCGTACATTCTGTCCACCCGTGGCACCGCCAGCTGGCCGCACATTTTATTGCACATATCGACAGCGTACAAGGATCTTAAAGACGGCTTGGCAACACAAGGGCTGCGTTTAGAAGGAAGAGAGCCATTTTACAAAATATAAAAGCCATTTGCATTATACAGACAACTTCAAGGAAAAACTGGAAAGTAACGTCCAAAGAAAAATTTTAATTTTGAAAAAGAAATCTCTCACAACAAGGATTACAGAGCTTCATGTTGCCAATATATACATGTAAAAAAAAAAAAAAAAAAGGGAAGAAAATTCCAGGACCCTGCATTCTGAATGCCCGGCGAGGTGCAGCAATCAAAATTCCTATTTCTGTAACCCCCCTTTGAACGTTGCTCACGTGGAATACGCTCGGGGTTCAAAATGCCTCTACATCATCATGCTATTTGACAACAGGTATTTGTGCAGTACAGGAAAATATTAAAATACATCTTAAGTTAGGGTAAAGTGCACAGTACATGTCAGAGGGAGTAACTGAAAGCTGCCAATTCAACCACTGTGTTCAGTAACCCTCCCGTCTCGCCCCATGTGTGGCCTTGGCTGCTGTCCCACTGCCCTCACGAGACCCTGACAGGTGGCAGACCGGGGCGTCCCTGCAGGGCGCTGCCTGCACACAGGTGGTTGGGTCCGGGCGGCCCTGCGTGAGCCTCGGACCAGCACGGCCCCGTCCCTTGGCGGGCGCTGTCCTGGCCACGTATCGTTTGAACTCGCTCGCTCCTCGACCGCACAGCCTCACACGCGCCCCTTGCTGAACCTGCCGCTGAGCCCACCCCGGGGATGCGTGCAGCCGCCTCACCGACCTCCCGACTCGCTGCTAGAGTTTCCCCCGGAGACGGCGAGTCTCGCGGTGCTGGGCGGGCCACTCTGAGAGCCACCAACTAAGTGACCATAAAACGAGCATCTCGAAATCTTTTCCTCTTTTTAAAACTGACAGTTGTTTCCTGACCCACATCTTAGGTGTCTTACAGAAGGAACTCTGGTTCCCGCGCAGTCGAAAAACTGCCCTTCACAAACTTTTGGGTTAAACAATCAACTTA